AAAAATTCAAGGAAAAGAGAAATCCAGTGGGGTCATACAGGCCTAGATATTCGATCCTTGGTGTCAGAGCACTTGTGAGGCCATCTACCTGCAAACACTTTTTACAAAAGAAAACAACAATGGACAGTTATTATGTGGCAGAAATGGGGTAAGGTTATGACACTACTGCCTACCACTGCCATTGTACTTTTTGCCAACATACTCTAAATGTCTTGTCTTCAAAGCTTGTTGTGACTTCTTCTTTCTAATATCTTCGGTTTTTCCTGATGATAAAAAGATATATGAGGTAAAATTAGTTTACAGAAGCATATAAAATGTCTTATACAATTATCTTCACAAAAATTTTAATTTTTTTCAAATCAAATCAAAAGTATTTTTTTCCTAAAAAGCATATCTGAAATGAAAGTTTTATTTAATTATTCAAGACAATATATGCATTTTTTTTCTAAAATATAAATCAAGAAAAGCTCTACCTCCCAGATTTTTTCTTACCAGTTCTTAAGAGCCTTGTGCATGAAATCCAATATTAATCAAGCTAATTTGTGTACCACATCAAAAGATGGGAGGACTTTTGACTCTTGAGTCATACTGAATTAGAGTCATAAATTCTTTAAATGGCACAAAGCTTAGATCATATTAAAAGATAGTGACAAAACAATCTGACTCAGTGTCTAGCCATGATAAATAATAACAACCTTTGAACAGTCTTATCAGTTGTGCAGTTGGCCAAAAAATCTTGTGGCCACCCAAAAGTTTTCTGGGAACACTAGCACATTCTGTTGTTTAAAATATAGTGTTAAAAATTTTCGAGTAAAATTTGACAAAATTAAATGTATAAGAAAATATGAGAAGGAACATACATTCCCCATCTTGATTTCCTAATTGAGTATCAATGCCCTAACTTAGCTATACTGGTTACAGCTTGCAACAAATTTATTAAGAAATAGAAACAATAAACATGAAATAAGATTTTAAAAAATAAATATATCATATAACCATCTGTCATATATATTTGCCTTTCCCTAGGCATGTCATTCACACACTGACTACTGTCTTGACTTGATAGACTGTTCGTTGGAATAACAAAAAATACTATCCAGTACTGTACGAGTACATGATTACTTGTTCTCCCACTCAGTTGTGAAGCATCTGTGAAACAAATATAATCAACTTACATGTAATTTAGATGTAATTGGGTGGAGGTAACTGTTGCAAGAAAACCAAATTCCACTGCCAAGACAGAAGAGGTGCACAATGATATTTTCCTGCCAAAAGGTTCATCCCCTCAAAATAATATATTCTTTTAAAAATCTAAATAACTACACAGTGCCAGGTGATACTATTGTCTACTATCATCTTTCCTTTCCTTTTCCATAAAATTCATGTAATAACAATTTAGGCTCAATAAGGTATGCAACAAACTAATGGAGGCGAAACCAGCAGGGTATTCAAAAGTAACCAGCACCCAGCGAAAATTCACTATCTGACAGCCTTTCAATCGCCGGGTACTTTTAGCATGACAATTTTTTTAAAATCTATTACTTTTATGCACCATTCAAAAACACTGTCTTCAGATGCGCAGAAAATGCATCTGAGGGGGGGTGGGTGGGTGGGTGGGTGGGTGGGTCGGTTAAATGTTAAAGATGCTAACGAGCTTTTAGTGACAGTTGTCATGAATGCATGACTGAATGACACTGGACATTCTAGCTCATGGACATTAAAGGTGTGGCAAAAAGATTATTGTATAGAAAGAGACAATCATCTACTTGAAGTGTTTTTTTTTTTCACTTTCCTAAAAGATGCCCACACCCCCTTCACCTGCAGACAGCAGAGCCCTCTCACCAGCCCAACTGCCAAGTTAAATGGAGTAGCTCTCATGAGCAGACTTGCAACAGAATGATACATCCTTATTACCACAAAATTATAACACACTATACATCTCCAAAGGATTCTAAATATGCAAACAAATGTGTGTGAAGAGGAATTATACCATAGCATTTCTTTTACAATGATTTACTTTGTTTTTTTTTTAGTTTCTCAGAAAGTAACCTAAACCTATTATCAGAATAACGATCTCCATGTCAAAGATTCTAGAAAGTTTGTTTAAGCATTATAAAACCAAATAAAGACATTCAAGAAAAAGAAAGACAATCATTCAAGAAAAAATATATCTAAGAAAAATAAATAAATAAATAAAAATACAGAAGGAAAAATCTGAAATTCCATCCTCCTTATCAGATTGAGAGGTGTGACAGCATTCTAGCTCTCACACTTTTACAATATAAATGTGATTAAACTGGTACTAACTTCCTTCAAGTCTACTCTCTATTACATCCTGTGGTCCCAAAAATTATAAACACAATTTTCTTCTTTTTTTTTCCTTCTTTTTTCAATCTGTAAATCTAAATATAGTAATATCATGAAAACATAAAAAAGAAAAAATAACAATACTCTTTGAGCAAACTTATTCTTGGTACATATAGTAAAAAGGAAGAAAACTTTCTGTTTAATCATTGCAAGCTACTAATGCAGGAAACAAAGCAAGCAAAAAAATTATTATGTGTTTAACACTAATGTCTGGCATGTCTTTGTTTAATGCCTTCCTGAATGATCCTTACTGGCTTCTGCTTTTGTATCTTTCTGAGAAAAAAAGGAAACTGGTCTAGGAAAAGTCACTGGCACTGCACATTCATGATATCTGAGGAGATGTACATCAATTATAAAAACAAAACATGAAAACACCTACCTCATATGTGGTGCATAATCTGTACGGTTAGGGCTTCTTTTCCCTTTTTCTAACCCCATCCTCTTGCGCAACATGGCTTCCATATCCTCTTGAGTTAAAGCAGGCCGCAATTTTCTGCGAGGAACATGTCGCAGAGCATACTGCCAGTCCCCTGAAATTTTTTTTAAGTTCTTTAAAATGTTTCAAAGCCCATATGAATTTTATTTAGCAATATATTTCATATATTTCGTCCACTCACCTCTTCCCCTTTCTCTCTCACTATTTTCCTTTTCCTGGTCTACTTCCCATTCCCTTCTCCATTTTCCCCTCTCCCTCACTTCTCCACTCACATCTACTTCCTCCTCCCTTTCCCTTTCCAATTATTTCCTTCTTTCTCTCCTCTCTTTCTCCCCTCTCCCCTCACTCTCCTCCCCAAAGACCAAACCCAAACCAAAGCAACAAGAACCAAAGCACTCACCTGTATGCTTAATATCCAGCAAGATGTTAACTATCTGATTGAGTGTCAGACACTTGCCTCCAATACCCCACTCCAGATACCTGGTGGTGACAAGAGAATGATAAACTTTAAAGCTGCATGAGCAGTAGATAAAGTAGCATTAGTTCATTTCTACTACCGTTACTACTACAATTATCATTATTGTTACGACTTTTTAAATAAGATAAAATAGCCTTCATGCATACCTTATATTATTTCTATACCACCATTTACTATTCAGCCTACTATTATAATTACTACTACTACTACTACCACTACTACCCAATCAGATCCGGGTGGCTGAAGGCTGGGGTGACAGGAATGCTTATCAGGAGATAATATTTCCAAGTGGTAGGTGACATATTTGACTCTGTGAACATTTTGGAAGAGGCTCTTATATTATTTCCAGCAATAAACAAGGATGAAATATACTATCCATAAGCCATTCCTGGAAGAGTACTGGCAAGCATTATTTCCATGCCAGGATGTTAGAGAAAAATAAATAATACTAAAAATAATTCAAAATGACAAAAATAACACAAGGTTACTTATTGTTATTCTTACTGCAAAGAATTTTAAGCTGCCTACAGAGATAATATGGAGTTTGCTCAATGAAAACAGTTAATCATACAGCATAGAAACTAACAAATGCAAAGAGGAGTCAAGGAGACTTGATACAAGCCTACATGCTATACATCCAGGAAAGTCATGACTCAAGTAGGCCTAAGCCTTGTGCCTAGGTTTTGCTCCACTACTACTGCTACTGCTACAGCTACTGCTATAGCTAATGCTACTGTTCCTGCTACTACTACTGCTCTGCCACTACTCTGCTACTGCTCTGCTACTGTTACTACTGCTACTACCACCTCAAATATATATTAATTATTCAATGTTCATTTCACATTTCAATCTTAATAATGATGATGATAATAACTGACAGTGACAGTGATGGAGACAGCGATGGTGATGGTGACAACAAAAATGGCAATACTGTTACAAAAAGGAAAGCCCAACAAGGCCTACCTGTCAAGCGGCAGTTTCTGCATGCGTATGCCTTCCCTCTTGGCCTTGGCTAGAGTCACTGGCTCATTCTCGCCTGTGTCTACTATACCCCCCACAATGTACACAGCATCATGGTCATACGTGGTCATCTCTTCACGGCAGTGTGGAGTCAAGTACACCAGCTTGTCCTTAGGAAATCGGTCTAAATAGCTCTCTCCTGTGATGGTCAGGGGGAACTCTGGCTGCCAGACAGAATGTAGGATGAAATTCTAGAGCGACTCATACATAATACACACGAAATTGAAATGGAGAAGACATAAATGCCACATTCATTACTTACATCAAAATCTTAATTACATGAATAATGAAAAATCTGTGAAACTCATAGCCCTAACATAACCACAATTTCTTCTTTGGACTTAATGAGGAACTACATATTTCTAATAAATACAATACATTATTTCAGAAAATAATACACACATCAATTACTTACCCTATTTATGACGGGAATATATCGTGAAAGTCGACGCACAGTGTCTGACTCTGGACCAGCATTGCAGAAGATCAAGTTGTATGGGTCAGGATGAACTCGATTTTCACCAAAGAGCATCTGAGGCAAAAGGAATTAGCTATGACATTTTAATTTTCTAATCTATATCTATACTATAAATTTTATCATGTATCATCATCAACATTATCATTATTATCATTATCATCATCACCACCATCATAATCATCATTATTATCATCATCACCACCATCATATTTGTCATTATTATTATCATTATCTTTATCATTATTACTATCATGAAAATGATTATCATTATTAGACATTTATTATCATTGTCATTATCATTATTATCACTATCATTACCATTACCATCATCATTATAATTATTACTATCCTTGTTATTATCATTATCATCTTTATTACTATCACCATTACCATCAGCAGCAGCAGCATTACATTATTATTACTATTATTTCCATTATTATCATGATCATGATCATCATCATTACTATCATCATCAATTTATCATTATCATTATTATCATTATCATCATCATCATCATCATCAGTTTTATCATCATTATTATCATTATCATTATTATCATTATCATTATCCTCATTATCATAATTTTTTATCATCATTATTATTATGGTATAGTTTCAATAGACAGACTGACCGAAATTAAGACACTTTTCATCTATGCAAGTTGTGCAACACATTTACATTTACAGGAAAAAGTAATAGCAATTTAATAATCAAAGATAAAAACTAAACACTAATACATGAAATAATCAGCATGAACAAAAAATGATGCCAGATATCAATTCAATGCCCCTGGGAAAATGTTGTGTTCACTGTAGTATTGTTTTGTGAAATGTCTCTGAAAGTATATGGCTTTCCCAGTGTTTAGTCACAAAGGAGTCAATTAGTAGACCTTGTGACCTCACCTGATTTCACCTTTCCTTGGGTTTGTGGGAAAAAAGTTTTTACTAATGCTATCATCATTGATACATATGTTTCTGTTATAGACCTGAGTTAGGAAGGCTTATACGGATATGTTTGTGGATTTCCCAGGAACAGCTGGAGAAACAGGGACTTATCTCAGAGGGGTGCAGTCACATCGTCAACATTACCTGTACTTTCATTTATATCATTGCAATGGAAAGTAACAAGAGATTCAAGATTACTATACTGATAATAGAAAGAAGGAATAACAACTACAAGATTGGAGGGCTGTGTGAAACTATAAAATTGCCATTATCATAATCATTATTATGATTATACTTATTATTACAATTATAATTCTCTCTCATTATCATTATGATTGCTTTTACTGTTACCATTAGCCAATCATCATCATTATAATCATTATAATCATTATTATAATCATCATCATTATAATCATCATCATCATTATAATCATCATCATTATAATCATCATCATCATAATAATCATCATCATTATATCATCATCACATTATATCATCATCATTCATCATCATTATAATCATCATCATCATTATAATCATCATCATCATTATAATCATCATCATTATCATCATCATCATTATAATCATCATCATTATAATCATCATCATCATAATCATCATCATCATCATTATAATCATCATCATCATTATAATAATAAACATTAATCATATTTATTTTCATCATCATTACTGTCGTTATTTTCTAATCATCATCGTTATCAAAATCTTTATCATGAATATACATCTCTCCTGGTGACAAAGAGTTAAAAACTGAATACACAATCAAATAAATCAACTGACAGATTAGGAAGCAAAATAACACTGACCTGGAGTTGATAAGCACAGTTTTGTCTTTCTCGACTGCTCATGACAGCATCAAAGTCCAGGTCCAAAACAAGTGGCTGGCCATGGATCATGGCAGAAATAAGGCGTGAGTGGTAGAACTGGTTGATTGTGGAATCCCTCACATAGAGGAAGATACTATTGAGCCATAGACCATAGCGAATGTGTCCGTCATCTTCCTCCCCTGATTCCCCTATCTCTGCCTTCCTCTCCTCTTTCTGCCTCTCTTCTTCTTCACGCTTGAGTCTTATCAACTCCTTCTTCTTTTTCTGGCTTTCCCGCTTCATCTGGTTCTTCCACAAGAAGGCAAGGTATTTTCTGCGCCCCTTCCGCGAGGTCTTAGTGAGGAGTTCCTTCCACTGGTCCTCAGTGATGATGTCTGGGACACTGAAGCCCTCTTGTCGGTACAGCTCCACCTCCAGCTCCACCAGTGCCTGGAATTCTGCTTTACTTTCATCCACTTCCCCTACTTCCACTGTGGTGATTCCTTCACTGCTGCCATCACTGTGATTCCGTCCAATAACTTTTGATGTTTCTTCATTGTCTTTATTCAATACTGCTTTTGTGCAGTAAAAGTTTTGTCTCAAGTCTTGTCCTGCATTGTGTAATAAATGTTGGCTGCTTGTATGTGCTGTTTTCACTACAGTTTCTGCCACTGATCTATTACGAGTGTGTGCCTCTGTCCAAAACCACCGTCCTTGCCATTTTTGGGTTCGATGTATTCCAGTCAAAACATCTAAGCCTTTTGACTGTCTGGAATTTAAAATTTATATGTGAAAGACAAGTACAATTTTAAATTATTCTGTCCTGCCTGACAATAATGTAAACTCACTTGAGTCCAAGTAATATAAACAGAGAGAAGTATTAATCCACCTAAACATACTGATCCACTTAAAAATTAACAGCAGAAAAATATAATATCAAATGCAATGCTAGTGTACTCAGTGTGTATACATATGATGGAATAATGCATTACTCCAGTGATATATTATTGTTCTCTATGAATGCTACCTACACTGAGCGAATCCATCAATAAAAATGAAGTGTTGCAGTAATTGTTAATACAGTTATACAAAAAACATTATCCAAAATATGGTTGATAATAACAATTACAATGTTAAAATCACAATATCATAACCACAACATAATAATATACCTTCTCTAGTAATTCAAAAGAAAGTAAGAATGAAAAAAAATAATGTTAACAAAACCTTGAAACAGAAAATACGAACCTAAGCTCCAAAACGGGTAGACCACAGAAGTCTCTCACAAGCAATTGTCTTGTGGTAGATCTCAGCGTGTGTGAAGCTGCAGCCCCAATCTTCAGTAACAGCGGCATTGCTCCCTCATCTATGTCTCACTAAAAGAAGCACTGCTGATCCTGTTTAAAGGACCAAAAAATAAGTTTGATGATTTTAGGATGTAAAGCCAAACTCATTAGAATTTTATCCTCCTTTGTCTTTTATGTATCTCTCACTACTTGAGCTTTAAAATGACTTAGTAACCAATAACAATAAATGTTATTCATTGATCAATAAAGTAAATAAAAAGAAATAAAAACATTATACTCCACTGATATCAAATTATGTCAACGCCATACAATCATAGGAAGCATTAAAAATACATAAAAGTGATTAAAAAAAAGGTCAGTAATATGATCAAAAAGATATAAAAGACTGCAGTTTGCCTGTGCTACTTGCTGCTACATCAGGAGGGCATGTATGTAGTCCTGTCCACTGTGATTTTCCTTTATTAATACATAGCTCCAAATGTGCCTCATCATCCAGGATATTTTTAGTTTCATTACTATTAGCACTGTTATAACAAATATTTAAACAGAAAATAATATTGGTAATAATGATCAATAAAAAAAATAAATGTTCATGTTCATGTTCATAATAATAATAAAAACAATAATAAAAATTAAAATTAAAATTTTAAAAAATGATGATGATGATGATGATAAAAATTAATGATTAATAATAATCATAATAATAATCATAATAATCATAACAATAATCATAATAATCATAATAACAATAATAATAACTATCATGAGAAACTACAAGGTGTTGTTGGTCTTCACTCATGACATTTGCAAACATCCCTCATGACAGCCATGCTGGTTGTGTTACTACACTGTTACTAAAAGATAAACTTGTTCATAAGAATTGTACTTACGTTGCCGAAACTCATTTAATTGTTTTTATTTTAACTACATAGATGATCTTTTCACAAATACTATACTATAGAGAAGCAGTAAATACAGATTGTTAATTATAAACTTCTTAAGATTAGAAATCAACCAACAATAAATTTTAAAATAAGCAGAAAATTTGCAAGCACTCGGCAACTTCCATTGAATTTTTCCTTCATCTGTCAAAAAGACTTCAAATATCTGACTACTTTGAAAATGCCAATTTTCATAAATTGAAACTAATTACAATGAAATGACAGTTGAGTTAACACTTTCATATTCAATCATGCACACATATAGAACACTATTGTTTAGATCTTAATCCAAATTATTATAATCTAAACATGTAAACATTTTAGTAAACACATGAATCTGTATAGAACTGCACCTTTTCCACATGTGCCATGTAACATTTTCAGAGGCCTAATGAGGCTTTAAGCTAAACCTTACATGATTTATAAAATGTCTAGGCTATTTTCATTCTAAACTGCCCTGCCATTTACAGTGGAGTATCAAGTATTCCACTGATCACATAATTCATACTTTGATATGTCAACTAGCTTTGTATAACCATACACAGTTATATAGGATAAAAAGAACCACACTGGCAAGAGACAAATGACAATCTGAAGGGGGGTCTAGGGGCAGGGCTCTTGGCTAGGGAAATATGGCAATCAGTAGAGGTCACCCCCAGGTTGGAAGGTTTTTGGATTATAATATGATTTTGGTGGTAGTCTGAGCATTTCAAAAGGTATTTACTCATTTGTTTGTTCCAGTTGGGTATTGGTCTCAGACTGATGCTCTCTTGTAAACTTTTACCCACCCAGTATTATCCAATAGACTTTCAATATAACAGTTTCATATTGTGTTTGGGACACACTGGTGATAACTAGACACTTAAATACAAGAATGACATGAAAGAATTTTGATTAGTGATATAAGTTTGTGATAATGAAAATACTTTTGCATGACCAATCATAATGCTACTGGTTTCAATGGATTCCTCTAACCCTCTTCTTATTGACCCCAATAAGAGGAGAAGGCATGAAAGGTACAGTCTGGGACTAAAGTCCTCGGAAAGGTTTTGCATGTTTTGTTTATTGCCCGAGATGGCACTGCAATCGCTGTGTAGTAAAGGGGCAGATTTCTGAATGGAGGAGGGAGAGAGGCCAGAGTTGGGTTGTAGGGATTCATTACATTACTTCACACATATGTTTGAATCAACGAGATCATGGAAAATACGAGGGCGTCAATGAACTCCCACTCACCTTGTGCAGCACCATCTCTGGGCACTAAACAAAACACGCAAAACCTTTCTGAGGACTTTAGTCCCAGACTGTACCAGGGCAATTGCAGGGTAAAATATGGATAATATACATGAAATACATCACACTAAAAATAATATACACAGAGAAAGTAAATATATTGTCTAATATTGGGGTTTTTGCTCCCTTCAACTCCCCCTTGGCCCTACCCTAGAAGACAAAGAATCCTCCACATACTACTCACAGCAGAATAGAGTGTACAACCAACATGTGAGAGCGCCCGATACCGAGTCTTTCCTAAACTCTTATTCTGCCATACATACTTGGTGGATTCGTTGGTGTCCTGGGGGTCAGCACTCCCTTATGGTGGGGTTGCAAGAGGCATAGCCACCAGCATTTGCTATATATTTACCAATCCTCTATATATTAATCATATATTACCCTGCTTATTAGGACCAAGATTGTGGGTGGGGGAGAGGGTTTTCGGTTGGAATATCTGTTTTCGTAGAAGCGGCATAGCAAGCAACGACAATGTATGGGCTGCGACCTCCCAGCAAAGGATATTTATGGTGTGAGCAACAGTGGTAGGTTTTCATTTTTAATGACGATGTTCTGAAGTAACAAAAATTAATTGATTGTTATACATGCTTATTTTCAAATTTGGATGGATTCTGTTTTGTTTTGCTGAGTTAGTTATATTGGAATTCAAATATCTGTGAGAAAGAAAATTGGGTGCAAGCAAATGAGATCGGTGTTTTCCAATCTGGCCAAGGCATAATTTGTGGGTATTATTGGGAAATAAATTTAACAAAGAATAAATAAAAAATAACCTTTCAGCCTTGAAGATATTTAATTAATGATCATTTTTCATTAGATAAACTTCTCTCACAAATGAAGACTAATGAAGTTATTTCATTATCAAAATAATTAAAAATAGTATTAAACGGAGGTGAGATTCACACAATCCTTGAGGGAATACTGACCAAATTCTACTCTGCGCATGAGTGGGATCTTTCGTAACCGTACTGTTCCTGATGTCTTACTTGTGATGTCACGGCCAGTGTCACGATTTCATTGGTCAAATGTTTGGAGATTAATTAAATAGCCAATAGGGAAACAAGGCACAAGGAAACAGCCAATGATTGAACATTAGCTAACACTGAAGTTATGAAATTCAATTTTTAAATTAGTTTTGCCATGGTCTCCATATGTGGTGTGCTAACCTAAACAAACCATATAAAGTCATAAAAATTATTTTGAAGACAATGAGGCTAGCTTCAAACTATTACGTGAACACAGAGTGCTTGCCTTTGAAGTGCCATGCAACAAACCTCACTCATGCAAGCCACTCCAATAATATCGACAACCCTCAACCCGGCCCCTCCTCTGCATAAGTATGTTGTAAGGTTTATTTTCATGGAAATGACTATGTATATGGTACTTTGCATGCGTACGAATGACATGTGGAAGTGTCTGATCCCGGGTCTGTCCCGACACACTCTGCTGCCGTAAATACATAGAGAATTTTTTGTTTTCCTGGGTGGGGGTTGCAGGGGTCTGTGGCCCCTGCAACCCCCATGAGTAATTCTCATGCCTACAACCAACAAGTGGGAGCACCTAATGCCAAGTCTGTCTGACGTTCTCTCCTGCCTTGAATACATAAAGGATTTTTTGTTTTCCTGGGCTGGCGTTGGGGGGTGGCATCCTCCCAGGAGAGGCAGTTACAAGGGGCACAGCCCCTTGCATTAGACAATATAGTGACTTAATCAGTACTATGATTAGCCTACAGTAGAGACTGAGAATTCCATACTGCACATGCATGATATCAAGAGTGGCACAGAATGCTATGGAAAAGACATTCTAACCATTTCCTATGGAAACGAATAACAGAATCAACCAAACCAGAACAATAGAAATCAAACAAATCTAGTTTTGAATCTAGCATTGGTCACATCCCAGACTGTAGAGTTTGCACGGGGAACACGTTCCCCACGCAAAAAATTATTTGGTCAAATTCTGTGATAATTTTCTATATTACATCCACATAACCGATATCAACGATTTTGGTATCGTTGGATTCCTCTCACTCTCCACATTGCAATATATAGTTTTTATTGCGAGGAAACCCCCAGTTAGCGACAAACTTGGCCCCGATAGCAGGGGAGGGCATGAAAGGTTCCAGGGAAAATGCAGGGTTAAATAGCACTAATAATATAAAACAGTGAAAATAACCATGGTTATTCACATAACTTTCCATTTCCGTATTCCCGGCAGGCTAGAGCGTTACACAATCATAGTCGATGTCGGAGCGGCGGGCGTAATGTTACAATTACCTCGTAAGATTCCCACTGAATCAGCATATTAACCTTGGCATAGTCAGCATTGTATATACAGACGATTGTAGTATAATCAGGATGAACAGGGTGGCCCGCCCTCGTCGGCGGGTTTTGCACCTCTTTCAATGTTACACCGATGGCCTCAAGGTCGAGTTTCCTGTCCTCTGGAATAGTGACATCCGTATTCCTAACCAAAATAACCGTCACATTCAGCAGTCAGTCATAGCCACCGCGATGGCCGAGTGTGGAGGGTGCCCGTATTCGGAGACAGATTTTTCTGCGCAAAATTACAACTAGCCAGGAAAAAATGCTAGAGATGTGCTTCCGCCACGGCCTCCATCGTCGGGAGAAAGCTGTATCCCCGGCCTAGGACCTCCTGCCGGATGCACCCTGCCTCCTTAACATTCTGCAGCTAAGGAGCACCCTCCTTATAATTAGCGGCATTAATCAATCAGGTTAGTCTTAAAAATCCTAGGTTATTGTAGGTTATCGGCTCCGCATCTAGTTCGTGTGCACTCTATCCTGCTGTGAATACGTGGTGGAGGTTTTGTTTCCTCGGCAGGGGTTGGGGGGCGGTAACCCCCCCAGGGGGGGGTCGCAGGGGGCACAGCCCCCTGCAATGGAAAGTCATGTGAATAACCATTATTATTTTCACTTTGAGGTTATATTTTTAAGGTAATTTTATATATTACATCCGTATATCGTCGCCCCCGCTATCGGGGCCAAGTTTGTCACTAACGGGGGGTTTCCGCGCACTAAAACCTACATATTTGCATTGTATAGAGTGAGAGGAATCCAACGATACCAAAATCGTCGATATCGGTTATGCAGACGTAATATAGAAAATTACCAATTCTGTTTGCGCTAATGAAGTTCTCAGGTAACTTTCCGCGCATGCTCAGATATTTTTTAAATCCTCTTCTGTACATAATATACTTTTGGCCTTTCCATGCACTTGTTTCATCATCTGTTTGCATATCCTCTGGCGCAAATGTAGAAAAAATGATGTTTTTCACACATGAAAAAATGTAATATTCCCCGCGCAAGAAAAATACTCTACAGTCTGGGCCCCGTCTTTTTCCAAATTTACCATTTCTATGTATGTGGGTAAGAATGAATATGAATGAATATCTTCATAAAATAAGAGATGTACATCTTGTTTTGTGAAGACCTTCATTCTCATTCATACCTTTTCTACATTTTTCACTATGAATACTGTGGCTGATCATTGTGATCGGTCATTCGAAGACATTCTGAATATTTACCAAAATTACAGTAAAAACAGCAATGACAATAACAATTATAATTCTAATTACAATAATAACAGCAATAACAATAACATAAAACATTTTACAAAGAACTAGCCTGGGGGTGTCAAATTTTAATTACTCCATTTATGCTGCATAATTTAACATATTTTCTTCGCTATTCGATTTTTGAGTCAATTAAGGCGCCGAATGAATATCAAATGACATTAAATCTAATTGAAAAACACGAATTTACATTTACCTTTCCACATTAGTTTGAACATCAACATGAGTTTACCGGGATCAGCTGTTTACAAAACATGCTTCTATTTTAGAACTCATAAAAACGGCAGGAAATTATAAACGAAAGGAATATACTATTTTATGATAGCTTTTTAGTAATCTGGATTTAATAATCTTATGACTATGGACTTTATATAAAAAATTGTTGATAAGATGATTTAAGGGAGGCAATGTATAAAGACTTTTAAAAAATACATCAGACTGTTGTATAACAAATGTATCTTAGTAATTATGGATAATAATGCATTGTTCCACAAATTAAAATATAAAAAAGATAATAATCTACAAACTCTTTCATTCAACGTTATCTTCATTGTATATGCAGTTCTTTTGCGATCAGTGGTTCTAATTCTAATTGGTGTTGTATATATTTCTCTATATATATGGTTGTGTGTATTTTGCATATATATGCACGACGTACATTGAAAAAAGATCATATTTTAATTTCTGAGTAACTAAATTTTCTTTGATAGTTAAGGGTAAACTACGCGAATTTTATCAAGATGGAGGGGAACTGACAATTTATCGGATAAATAGATAATATTCAGCGTTTCGATTTTACAGTATCCACATAAAGATTTCTGATTAACAGAGAATGCAGTATATTGGCTTATGTAATCATCCACTGTCTTCCAATCTATTTTAGATATTTTCTATTATCATTCCCTTGCCATTCTATGGGTGGGTATTTCACGCTCAGGGTGATGTGAAGCGATGGTGTGGTAGCCTAGGTAGTGTTAAGGGCCGTACTATAAAAAAAACAAGTCAGGCAATGCCCGACTCTTCGCCAGGCGTTCCCGTAGTCGGTACCATGAGACCCTGTCTTCCCTTCGCCTGGCATTGCCGGCCGCTATAGGGTCGAATTTTCGTACCACAAAACACCACTTTCAGCTTCGCCAGGCGTTCTCGGTAGAAAAGTATTTGAATATCGCCCGACTATGAAAGCCAGCTATACCCCTCTCTCATCGCCACTCGTAAGTATTTCTTAATAAAGTTAAACTGAATGAATTTTAATTGTGATTTTATAATTTTTCCACTTTTAAAATTATTAAACTATACTTTGTTGATTTCTAGACAGGCGCAGTTGTGGAAAGCATCGAGAACGTAGCTGTCATCCCCAAAATAAACACATATATCAGGTGAGAAAACTGTTGACAGCTATTGTTACCATATCATGAAAGATTTTAAAAAGTGAAGAAACGTGTTTTGCACATTTAAAGTAAATAACTCTGCTCCTCAGTGAAGATATGAGATGGTACCAAACTAGTCTTGGCATTGTCCATTTAATCAACACAGAGGTTTTGCTGGTCCAGGTCCAGTTTCATGCAGCCGCCTTCTAGATGAAAATAATATTTGCAAACGATAGAGCGAGTGATTCTAAGAAACTTATCTTCTGTGAACTTCAACCGCAACTCAAACATTACAAAGTTAATGGACATCATATTGGTTTGAATAGTTGTTAATTGTTTATTAAATTATCAGAAAAATCGAAAAGCACAATTTTCCTAGAAAATAAGTTTTGGTTAGTTTGTTATTAGTGGAGGCCATGACCATCGCTTGACGATACACTAATGTGATGAACATTTTAACCAATTACATTGTTATTTACTTGATATTGGCAGAATTTGTCATTAATAGTGTATTTATAATGCTAACCCATTATTTTCCGAACACATTTTATGCCCTTTCCAAGTACTCTATCCTAGCTTTCATATCAAAGTCAGATGCCATAGTGAAAATACGTTAGTCTTGTAAAACTCCCAAGGATTTTAATAAATATAATTTGTTTCAGAAATGGCTGCAGCATTTGATGAATTAGAGTGTCTTGAAGCCCTTGAAGACCTAGATGCTGCAGACCAACAGGATATTCCCAGAAGATGCATCACTGACAGGATGAATCTTTTCCATTCTCTGCATGATGAGGAGTTCATCAAAAGATTCCGCTTATCAAAAACAACAGCACTCAATTTACTAGACAAGCTACAGATTCAAGGAACTCGAGATGGGAGAGGTAATATTGACTTTAATTGAGCCAGTTGAATTATTTTTTATTAATAGCATTATAACGTTTGCTTGTATTGTTATAAATTCAGTTTTAAGTTTTTTAGAAAATCCAAATGAAATTTCTGAATATTAACAAATACATAGATAAGTAAGAAGTTATTAAGTATGTCTTTTGATAAATAAAATATTTTTAGTGTAATCATGATACTATATCCATGTTGATATTTTGTAAATAACTATAATTATCTGCTGATATGGTTATTAAAATGTTCTAAATATGTATGAGTTTTTTAATAAGGGTTATATTTAGAGAATAGTGATTTATTCTGAAAGTCAAAATCTAAAACATGTTGCATTTCTTTTCAGGATCACCAGTACCACCCCACCTACAACTGTTAATTACATTGCGATGGATGGCCACTGGTAGCTTCCAGTTAACTATTGCTGACTCTTTTGACGTTTCACAACAACTTGTGAGCAAGTGCACAGCCAAAATAGTCCGAGCCATTGCATCTCTGCTACAAGATTATGTGAAACGACCATCGAGAGAACATTTTTCTAACATCAGGAATAATTATTTTGAAATGTCTGGTTTTCCTGGGGTATTGGGTGCAGTTGACTGCACACATGTACCTATTCAGAGTCCTGGAGGTGCTAGAGCAGAAAAGTTCAGGTGTAGAAAGGGATTTTTTTCTTTGAATGTTCAGGCAGCTTGTGGACCAAATTTAGAATTTTTTGACTTTGTGTGCCGTTGGCCTGGCTCTGTTCATGACAGCCGAATATTTAATAATAGCAGATTATTTTTTGATCTTCAACATGATCTGCTTGAAGGGCATCACTTATTAGGTGACCCAGCCTATCCACTGCTACCATTCCTCCTCACCCCAGTGGCAAATCCTGTTGGCCAAAGAGAAGTCAGATACAATATATCACATTCCAAAGCACGAAATACCATTGAAAGAGCATTTGGTGTTCTGAAAATGAGATTCCGGTGCCTCACCATTCCATTGAAAATTAATTTAACAACAGTCATGGCGACTATTTGCAGTGCAGCTGTCTTGCATAATATGGCTGTTAAGTATAAAGAAGATCTGTACATGTGTAATGATGATGGAGCGGAAGAAAGTGTAAATATTGAAGAAAATATAGAACACTTTGTAAATGCTGCCGGTCGACAGAAGAGAAATAATATCATTAATGAATATTTTTCTTAAATGTTTCATGCCAAAATGCCATTTTTGCTTGATATTTTTCTGTTTCGCTTAAATTAAGCATATGAGGTTATGATTTTGATTGTACACTATAGCAATCCTCAGGATTTGACAATTATGATTTATTTTGACTATATTATAATGTTCCTCATGATATGAAAATGAGGGGTTTATTTTGATTGTCTATCATACTATTCCTCATGTTATGAGTTATGATTTGTTCTGATTGTACATTTTACTATTCCTCGTGATATGAAAATTATGTTTTATTTTGAGTGTTCATTATACTATTCCTCTTGATAATGTCCATGTCTTTGAAATGCATAATTCATTGTATCTTGAATATAATGGATAATAAAAACATGAAAATTGATATTGTTTCCTATATCAAAATAACACTTTCTGCTTATTGCAAGTACATTGTCAAATATTTTAAGTATGATGGTATAAAAGTAAATAAAGTAAGGTGTATGTCATGAACTATTTGTAGCTAATGAATAACCTTAAAATACAGCATTCATCCGAAACCAAATTTGAGTGACAAAGAAAGAAAATTGAAAACTTACATTAATGAAAAAGATTGCAAAACATGCCTACATAATTTCCCGCGTCGTTCAAAGAATAAAAAAGAAAATTCCCGCGACGATGTTCGAACCAGCGGAAATGCGGGCTAAGGATCGCCTGACGAAAATGTTTCGTGATATGCTCGGAAAGGGCGGGCGATCGCCTGACGATGCTTCGCCAGGCGATCGCCTATCCTACCACTGGCTATCCTAGCGCGAAAAAGGGAGCAGCTATGCATAAGCCTCCCCTGCCAGTTTATAGCCTCTCTGTCATCGAGATTTCTGCAGTGCCTCCTCGTGGCCCCCCATGGAAACTGGGTACCTTGCGGTCCTAGGCTAAACTGTGGGGAAGCTCGGAGCAGCAGGAAGCCCAAGTGGTACAGGATCATTGCCCACCGGCGTGTGGACACAAGCTGGCTTTGTACCCTCTTGCCCCTAAGCCACCTGGGGATATTGGGAGGCTCGGGGTAGGTGAGCCTTACCAGTGCTCCTCCCCTTGGATAACCTTTCGGCAACGTCAATTATTAATGGAAATGTTGGGGAGAGGGGAAATGCCCCTCCTACCCAGCAAGTGAGGCAGATTGTGGGGTCCGATGGGATGATGACTGCTGGGTCGCAGCATGGGAACGAGATCTACTCGCCCTACCTGCGTTCTGGCAGCCGCCAACCCTGTATGAAAATTGTGAGGCAAAGCCCTTGGGAACCCCACAGGTGGATGTTGGGTCCCACAGTTTGCCCCCCCCCCCTACACACCCCATTATATGGGGTAGCATCAGGGGGGGTGGCAGAGTTGCTGCCCGAGGCTGAACCTCCGGCGGGACGTGAGGGTGGGGGCTTGGAACGTCTATGCTTTGCGACAGGATGATCGGTTGCCACTACTGTTGAGAGAATTGGGGAGACTTAGAGTTGAGGTGGCTGTTCTCTCAGAGGTGAGAAGACCTGGCAGCAGCACGATTAGTGTAGGTGGGTACACCTATTACTGGTCAGGCCAAAGCGATGGTCAACACCTTCATGGAGTAGCCATAGCCATCTCCAGCAGAATTTAGCCCTGGGTAGTAGAGGTTACGCTGATCGATGAGCGTATAATCTCATTGAGACTGAAGTTTCATATTCCTCTTATTCCTGTGTACGCTTCTACCGATGTTTGTAAACTCGACATAAATGAGATGTCCTACGCCAAACTTGCATGTGTTGGACAGTTGTCCTCAGCAAGGTATTCATATTGTTTTGTATGACTTCAATACAGTATCTGGTTGTGTTCGAGCTGGCTATATGTCTGTCGGTCCCCATGGTTCGGGAGCTGATGCCGAGAATAGCCTCCTTTTCCGGGACTGCAGTGTCCCAGAAATTGAGGATTTCTGGCTCTTGGTACCAGCACTCTGACCCACATCGTTGGACGTGGTACAGTGATGCGGGTAATGCAGCCAAGGAGATTGACCGCATCCTTGATAGCACTCGTTGGAGGATCCTTCGGAACTGCAGGGTGTATAGGAATGCCGAGTTCTGTGGTAGACCATAGATTAGTTGTGACTACCCCTCGGGTCCATTTAAGACTCCCCAGCAGTCCAATAATCACCCTTGGGTGTTTAACTTGGACAGGCTGAGAGAGAGGGAGTGTGCCCAGGGGTTTGTTGAGGCAATGTCTGGTATTTTCGCAGTACTCAAAAATCTCATGGACCCTGTAGTTCTGTGGAACACCCTCAAGCATGAAACACTTAATGCCACTCAAGAATCAATTGGTGAATGCCCAAGAGCAAGACAGAATTTTATCTCACGAGATGCTGGAAGCTACAGATGCTTTTTCTGCAGCTTGTCTGACAGGGGATTGGGATCTGTACTGTTCTCAGGTATGTAGAACTGTCACTGTTGAGAAGGGACAAGGAACAGTTTCTTAAGAGTCTTGCAGAGGAGGTCGAAAGCTATTTCTTAGTAAATGACTTTCGTCCTACATACCAAGCCCTGAGAAAGCCCTCTTCACAGTTGACTGTAGCTCATTCAGTAAGTGTCCAGATCGTCTCAGCAATGGTCTGAGTAATTTGAGCAGTTGTATCAGGTTGATCCGCCAACAGTTAACGGATGCGGGAAATGCTGAGATTCCGTTGCCGGAGCCACCCATCAGTGAGGATCCACCCTCCCTAACTGAGGTTAAGGAAGTGATCTCCAAGCTGAAAAGTGGCAAAGCAGGGGGTATCTGCTAACCTAACCAAACCATATAAAGTCATAAAAAATATTTTGAAGACAACGAGGCTAGCTTCAAACTATTACGTGAACATAGAGTGCTAGCCTTTAAAGTGCCTTGCAACAAACATCACTAGGGAAGTGATCTCCAAGCTGAAGAGTGGCAATACATTGGGTATCTGCGGCATCCCAGCTGAACTGTTAAAAGCTGGTGATGAACCCATGGCACGGGGGATGCATTCTGTCCTGGCTGCCATCTGGCAGTCAGGTTCCGTTCCCCCTGACCTGTTGAGGTGTGTGGTCATCCCTCTCTGGAAGGGGAAGGGGGATCGATGGGACTGCAGCAATCACCGAGGCATCACACTGCTCAGTATACCAGGCAAGGTTATCGCCCACATCCTTCTAAGACGTATCAGAGACCACCTGCCGAGGTACCAGAGACTGGAGCAATCTGGATTCACTCCAGGTAAGTCCACAATAGACTGTATCTTGGCACTTCGAATCACAGTAGAGCGCCGTCGTGAGTTCTGGTGTGGGCTGGTTACAGCCTACATCGACCTCAAGAAAGCGTTTGATACGGTGCATCAGGAGTCACTTTGGGAGTGTTGGACTAATAGCAAACCTGTATACTGGTATTACAAGTGCTGTTAAGTGCGGTGGGGACTGTCGAGCTTTTTTCCTGTAGGTTCAGGAGTGAGGCAAGGCTGTGTCCTTGCACCAACACTTTTCAACACTTGCATGGACTGGATAATGAGCAGAACTACTGTCCAAAGCCATTGTGGAGGAACTCTGGGTAATATCAAGGTCACTGACCTTGACTGTGCAGACGATGTTACTATTCTATCTGTCTTTAGAAACTTGATGCAGTCTAGAGGTCACCTGGCCCAAGACCAAGATCCAGGTCTTAGGGGACTTGCTAGAAGAACCTGTTTAGTTGGTATGTGCTTGTGATGAGGACATTGAAGTCACAGAGCTTTACATACCTTGGTAGTGTAATTCATAACTCAGCGCTGTCAGACCAGCAAGTTAGCAGACGAATTGGACTGGCAGCGGGGGACCTGAACTCTCTCGACAAGAGTATCTGGAGATGCTGGTACCTGTGAAGAAGGACCAACCTACGCGTTTTCAAGGCCCTGATAATGCCAGTTTTACTGTACTGTATTGAAACCTGGACGTTATCCTGTACCTTGAAGTCTCGTCTTGATGCCTTTTGTAATAGGTCCTTGCGCCGGATCATGGTGTACTGTCTATACTTATATAGACCTTGAGGTTCACCACCATATGTCACATTTGTGTTGGAAGCTTGAACATGTCAGGTGTGGCGGGTAACCGAAGGCTATGCGTAATTATAAAGAAAAAATACTTTGCCATGGAATTTAGACATGAAAACCCCATTGTTTCATCTAGTTGGATGGAGCGCTTTAAACGAAGATGGGGAAAAGTGCAGATGGCGAGTCTGGAGCCGTTGGTCTTGTCATCGTGCAGGAGTAGAAAGTGAAAAACTTCATGACATCTTGCACCGTTTAAAAGCTAAGGATATCTATAACGCCGACGAAACGAATTTATTTTGGAAAATGTTGCCTGAGAATACTCTTGGTTTCATTGGATCGCAGATGAACGGCGCAATACAAGCCAAAACTCATGTCACAGTTTTGGTTTCAGCAAATACATTGACATGCTTCCCCTCTTGGTAATTGGCAAGAGCAAATTGCCTCGTATATTTAAGGGGTGAGGCATCTTCGTGTTCTGTATAAAGTGAACAAGAAAGAGTGGATGGTGAGCAACATTTTTAATCATGGCTGTGCAGTCTTGACCACTGGATGGAGCTGCAGCATCGAAAGATCTGTATGATTGGTGACAACTGTACTGCCCACCTTCACGTAGGACTTGAGAACACTAACCTCGTTGTCTTGCCCCCAAATACCACCAGTTTAGCATAACCGATGGATAGGGACATACGAAATCTGAAGTTTCACTATCGCCAAATTTTGGCAAACAGGAGACTCGAAGCTGCTGAGTGGTACACCCTTGAAATAGGGCATCTTAGACGCGCTGTTTGCAGTAAAGTCAGCATGGAAAGTGAAAGTGTCAACCATTGCAAACGTTTACGGATAAGATGTCTTCGAATCGTCCACTCAGTATGATGTTTGTTGCACATTATTTTCCCGTGTTTACCAGAAATCACTTCTTCAGGGACACAATGTAGCCTAAGACATCATGTACATGCATGTGGCACACATTTGATTACGGCTGGGTACTGAGGGATGGGTAGGCCTATACCTGTTGTCTATCCACTTATTTCAGTTTAGGAAGGTTGGATTCGTGATGGATGAAGCTGCAGAATTAGGGCATGATGTGGTTGAGGATGATGAGACTAATCCAGCGCCGGGTCCAGCCCCCGCTTCCGTGAGCCCTGCCGATGCAGCCAGTGACGGAGAACAGGGAGTTCCGTGGCATCTGGTCCCGCCTTGCTGATCTATTTGGGGAGTTCCCTACGATTTGAGAAGTGCGTTGGCGTCGACACACATGGCAGTGATGTTCTTGTAGTTATGAGTGATAGTGATATTATTGAGGAGGTCAGGTCTACACACGAGCCAGATTACAATGCTAACGTGGAGGCTGAAGATGAT